AATAGCCCGTCTAGCTCAGTCGGTAGAGCGCAAGGCTCTTAACCTTGTGGTCGTGGGTTCGACCCCCACGGTGGGCGATTTCCTTTTAGTTGTTTTTCAATAATATTTAGCTTTCATTCTTTACAATGCAAGTGTTTCCAATCTTTTAAAAAAATGTCCAAAGTTTCAATCCTGGCCAATCTTTGCCTCGATGAAATTAATTTAATTCTCTTCTACTCATGCCCATCGGAAGTGTTGTCTTTGCGTCTCTCATCTAAGAAAATGTACAATGCCATTCAAAATGATGATCAATTTGCTCACCATTATTTGCAAACATATTTCCGTTTTACCAAAATCATTGGAAAGTGTCATGATTTGTGCATTGAACATGCCAAGAATGATCAAAGTAATAATCAGTTTAAATCTCATTGGGATGTTTTCAAGTATTTGTGTATTTGTCATTGTACGAGAGAGATAATTTCTATAAATTAATAGCATCACCACTAATAATTAAAGAACTGGGATTGAGAAAAGTCTCTCATTTGTGTAATATTGGATTGGCATTGGAAAAAGTACGAGAAAAGACTCTAGAAAATTATTCTAAATGGAGTCTTTATGCAGATGCTTATACATTGAATCACGATGTGTTTGTTCATTCTGTTGAATCAGAAAATGGTAAATCTAAGAAAAACTTTACAATTTTTACAGATTATGGATATCCTTTGAGAATTGAATTCAAAGATGAAATTGATCAAGATACATATTATGGCTTTACAGATTCCTATTTTTCAATTTCAGTCAATGGAAATCAATTTTTCAGAGTTTTAATTGAACACCATAGTGAAAAGGCCAGTGTTAGTTACAGATTTGCTGATTTCCTTTCCATTATACCATATATTTTCTTGGATGTTGAATTTGTTTTGGGACTGGAAGATCCAGAAATTCAGTTTACAATAGAAGCATTGCTTGTAGAAATGATTTGTAGTATTTGTGGAGTTACCTTGAATGCACCATATATAACCAATGAAGTACTAACCCTTTCAAATTACAAAAGGTTTGTTCGAGAAGGGGGTGACACTTGTTATCATCAATTCAATGTAACTAAACTGGATGAAGGTCATGGATTGCACCAATTCACTGTAACACATTAATGTTCTGATTTGTTGAACATTCTGTGAACTCAATTGTAAATGTGAATTGTTGTCTACAAAGTAAACCAAAAAAAATGGCAGAAGAAGAATATGAAGATTTCGGGTTCAATTTCGACTATTCTGAAAATATGGAAGAGATGAGAAGGCTCGAGGATGAACAAAGAGAATACACCCGATCGATCAAGTACTACAAAGATTGGCACCTTTCCGAAGATTCATGGCTAATCATATTAAATTATCTTTCCTTGTTGGAATTTAATAGATTTTCGAGGGTGTGTTTTGCATTTGTTGAGATATTGTCCTTTGATAAGAGATATTTGTTTTTCAAGAAATTAGCAATTGATTATCCGAATTTATTTGACAAGAGAGTGGCTGCAAAGGAATGTCATTCAGTAGCTGGGTTGATATCTGACAGATTAATAGGAAGTTCTCTATGTGTAGACATGATGATTAATGAATACATGCTACTCATTTTCAAGAAGGGATTATATATCTGTGGAATGTTTATTTATATTGAAGATTGTGATTATTTGAGTGGAGAATTGTTTTTGAGAATGTTGGTGAATGATTTTGTGGAAAAGGGGTTACAAGATTTAAATAATATACCTAAGCGATTATTGAATGACAAAGAGTTCATAATGAATGCCATGAGAATGTCCAAACGTAGTCCTTATTGCTATACACATATTTCAGAGAGACTCAAAGTGGATCCAGACATTGTATTGACTGCTGTTAGGAAATGTCCTCAGGTTGCTTTGAAAATTCCATTCGAAAGATTGGATTTAGAAACAAAGAAGAAAGTTTGTTCGATAGTTCTGAAACCTCCCAAATCAGCTCTCTTTGATAATTATTACCGTCACTATCCGAGAAATCCCTTGGCTTGGATACCAACAGCACACAGCTGCTATGAAAGAGCTGAGCTTTTGGATTACTTTGTAAGAAAAAAGCCAAATTTAATGGGATATCACACTCTTGTAACTGGCCATCATCTTGAGATGGAATGTATTCAGCTGATGTTTTTCAAAAGAAAAGATTATTATGGAGCGTTTTCTTTAATGAGTGGTTTGGTTATTTCTGAAAATATTGATTATGACTTGCTTTCTATATTTGAAAGAGATGATTATCCTGAGCTATTTACAAAGCAGATTGAAAAATTTCCTTTTATTGGAAAGGGTACTTTTACTCTAAATGATTTGGTACCTGTTTGCTTGTCGTCAGATAGTTTCTATATGGACACTATATTAGACCAACCATATACACCAAAACACTTCAATTTTTTCAGGAACCATCTGAAGAAGAGAGGTGTATATCCTGGACTTGCCAAGAAAATAATGGATGGTTCCATTAGAGAAAAAGCCATTGATCCTTCTCAAGCAGATGCATTTCTATCAGAAGTTCTATCAAATAAGAAGATTGTAAAGAAACTTTTGGCTATTCAGCCTTCTTATTTTCCTTTCCTATCAGATGATATGAAAAAGGAAAAGGATTTAATAGATATTGCATTGAGGTATCCCAATAATTTAGAAGTGCTGGGCAAAACTGATGAAAACTATCTTAAAATTTTGGACAAGTGTTTCACAGAAGCGAAGATATATATTGCTAAACAAGTTGGATCGGAAAATTTGAAAAACTTTTTGAATAGATTATATTTCAATGTCAATGAGGATGGAACTCTAATTAATTTAAAGGATAGTGTTATGTACGAATTCCCAAAAATCATCGTTCCAATTACGAAATATTTCAACAATCACTACCCAATTGAACACTTCATTACAAGAGATCAAATACTTGATATTGTAAAATTAGGAGACCCAACCACCTTAGAAAGAATGGCTCGAACTAATCTACCTTATGTTAGTGATCCTGATGTGAGAAAAGCGTTACTTCTCAAAGTATCTCACTTCTGTTTTGATACTGAAGAAATTGATGATGAATTGTGTTACGAAGTCATGCTGAAAAATCCAAAACTATTGGTCAGCTCACCAATTTATTATTTTGTTGGTTTTTTGGCTAAACATGACTATTACTTTGGAAAGCTTTTACTGGCTAAACGTCCAAAACTTATTGAGCGTTTGTATGGAGCTTCAAGGTTCTTCTCAAAAGAAAATTGTGTCAGGTTGGTAAATGATGTACCTGAGATTTCTCCTTACCTTGAAAATATCAAAAACCAACCAGTTCGCTATTACTAAATATCCTTCTTATAAATTCTATTCAATGTCTCTGCCGTGTACTTTGGATTGATGAAAGTATAATATGATTGAGAACAGTCATTGTCTGTGCAAAATGTCACAGATCCTCCATTAAGTGAGGGAACAATGTTCAACTGTGATTCCACATAAAATTTGTTCAATTCCACCTGATATTTGCATTCTTTTGAATCTATTCCAAAAGATTTGCACTGGTAATTGTTTTGCTCAACCCAGCTATCATTGTGTTTTGAAATGACCAGGTTGATGGGAATATTTTGAGGGAGATTGAGGTTAAAAACAGAATCTGTATAATTTTGATTATTAATCATTTCATCAAGAAACACTGATTGAGTGATCCATGTTTTTTCGGTTCTCATCCAGAATGCAATTTCATTTGAATTGCTTGTATTTGAATTTGGACCGATAATGAAAGGCATAATTCCTAATGGTACTCCAATAGCATTCACAATATTCATAATACTCCTTCTAGAATTCAATTCACTCTTTTTAAATGCTTCATATTCTGATTCTGTTAGTTTCTTCAATATTTTGGCTGAAGTAAATTCTATTCCATCTGGAAAAACATCCAAGAAGGTCAAAGACTTTACCATCTCAGGGTGATCTCTGGCATATTGATAAATTATTGAACCACCTCCTCCCCATCCAACAAAAATGTATGGTGGCTGTTCTCCTATTGACTGCATAAAGTTATGATAAAAGGTAGAGACATTCTTTTGATCTTTGAATAGGTAATCTGAGAATCCAAGCCCAGGTTTATCAAAAATACATGATCTTCTTCCAAGTTGAGTCATGTAAGTTTGGATATCTGAAAAATCTGCATAATTGTGTGAAAAATCACTCTCGAATATAAAAGTGGAACTTTGATTTGATTCTTTAGGTCCGTCACAAATCAAATGAATTTTCTGGACTCTTTCAGACCCATCATTCAATTTTACCTTTACCATTCTTCCTCTCTTTGAAATATTCACAATATTTGCCAAATTGACAGCTCCAAAAGCGAGAAGTAATAAAATCACAATTGATACAGTCCTCAACACAGAATTCACTCCAAATAAACATGTATATTTCACACAATTCAACAAGCATGAATTATTTCTCTTTTTCGGTTTTTCTCTATTCACTGACATTTTGAAAGAAAACATTAGAGGATGTGATGCACTAACGTTATCATCATCGTCTTCCATTTCATAACAACAATCACATGGAACCATTCCTCTGGCAAACCATCTCAATATCACAACTACAAAGCTCAACAATCCAATAGAGAAAATCAACACTGAACACACAATCAAATCCACTCTCAATCCATACATTGAATATCCAATCATGATCACTAAACTCATCACCAACATTAAACCAAAATACAATCCATTCATTGCAAACAATATCCTATCCGACCATTTCTTCTTCTGATCACGATCAGGTGGCTTACTAATTAAATAAATTAATTGCCCACTCACACTCAGCAATACTCCACTCATCCAAATCCCAATATATTCATTCGTAATGTATTCAGGCCCTCCATCATAGGATACAAAAATTGCATAAATGATCAGACCCATCAATCCGAACAGAGCACTCAAAGTGGACCATAGAATAATTGGAGTGAAGAGAAATTTGGCTACGGAACGAAAATATCGATCATGTTGATCATTCTCATCTTCGTAACTGATAAAATTGAGCATGAAAAGAGTTTTTTAATTTTTTTTTAATTTTTTGAATTGAAATTTCAGCGCCAAAATTGGAAAATATTACAAAATTGTTGAAATTACGTTCGATTTCAAGTAAGGAAAAAGGAATTGTTGAAAATACTTGGTTTTTATATGATATTCTATCTATAGATACAAAGATTTCTCTGAAAACTAAAGTTCAATAATGAAACTAAACCAAATATGAAATGTAAGATTAGTCCATATAATAATTGATGCATATTCTTTTAAACAATACAAGGGCAAATAATGAGGCAAATGACAGTTCACAAACGGCCGAATCATTTCTAATCAATGTTACAAATCGTGTCAATCAAAAATCATCACACAAAAAAATGAAATATTCAACACTAGTTTGTTTCGTTTTGTTGCTAACCATTCTATCTGTGTTAAAAGGCCAAGTTAACATCTACGTTTCGGACAGTCAAGGTCTCGATACAAACTTTGGTAACTCAACCAACTCTCCATTCAAAACTTTGTCTAAAGCAGCAGCCACAGTTGTGTCCATGAAGAATTCAGCTCTCACCAATCAAACCTATAACATTTTAATTGAAGAAGGGTCCTATTTCATTAATTCATCAATTACCTTAGCTAGTCCTAGCAAGTATAATGATAATACTTCACCTGTCATTTGGAAACCTTTAAATTCTGGCAAGAGTGTCAAAGTGGTTGGTGGTGTTCCACTCCCAGCTAGCTTGTGGTCAGTTGTAACATCTCAGAATAATAATTGGGCCTTTAATATGATTCCAACAAGCTCACAAGGAAAGGTTTTGCAATTGAATTTGACAGCTGTCGGTTTTTCACAAACTCAAATTTCAAAACTCAAAAGAAATGGTCAATATATTGGTTCAACTGATTCACAAAATGAACTTTTCTATAGAGGAAAGGTTTTGACGTTGGCTCGTTATCCAAATATTTCTCCTGATACACTCGATGATAATTTCTTAAAGATTGGAGCCAAGCCAGGTGTCAATAATTTCACATTCGATGCTACTAATGCAACCAATAGAAATAGATGGCCAAATGAAAAGTATCCTTTCGGTTTTGGATATTGGGCATACGATTGGGCAGATGGCACTGAAGATTTACAAAGTGTCACTCCAGAAGGTGTTGTCACTTTAAAACAATCCTCAATTACTTATGGTATTGTGGGTGGTCAAAGATTTTTCTTATTGAATTTCTTGAGTGAGCTCGATCAAGCTGGAGAATACATTATTTTAGATGACATGGTTTATTTGTATCCACCTGGACCTCTGGAAAATGATGATGATTTGGTTCTTTCAGTAACTGATCAGATTTTCACAGTCAATGCCCATGCTCATCAATTCCATAATCTCAATTTGGGAATGTGTAGAGGAACCGCAATCAAGGCATCAAATTATAATTATTTGATTGTGAATAGTTGTACTATCTCCAATACTGGTAATGTTGGCCTTGCTATTGGTAATTGTTTGACTGGTTGTAAGGTTACAAGCAATACCATGTATGAATTGGGTCAAGGAGGTGTTTCAGTTTCTGGTGGTTCAAGAATTACACTCACCAATACTGATCTCATTGTAATGAACAATACTATTTTCAATTTTTCAAGAATTGGTAAGACCTATAGAGGCGCAGTTTCATTGAGTGGATGTGGTGTTAAGGTAATGCACAATGTATTGCATACAGCTTCGCATGTAGCCATCTTGCACAGTGGTAATAACCATGAATTATCTTACAATGAAATTTACAATGTTTGCACTCAAACAGGAGATGCTGGAGCCATTTATAGTGGAAGGTATGTTTAAAGTTGTTCATATTCATTTCTAATGTTTCGAATAGAGATTGGACTATGAGAGGAAATGTCATCAAGTACAATTTCATTCACCACATTCGTGGACCTGGTCAACTTGGTACTTCATGTATTTACCTTGATGATCAATATTCATCTGCTGATGTTTACGGAAACGTACTTTTGGAATGTTACAGAGCTATTCTTGTTGGTGGTGGTAGAGATAATGGTGTAAGAAACAATATTTTCATTAACAATACCATTAGTATTCATGTTGATAACAGAGGATATAATGCACCAAATAATTCAGTACAACTCATGAAGAATCTCCAAAATATGCCTTATCAAACCGAGCCTTGGGCTTCTGCCTATCCATCTCTTGTTAATATTCTCAATGATGACCCTCATGCTCCAAAAGGAAATAAGGTAGTTTTCAATTTAATGAGTGGAACAACTTCATTGAATATTGCATCAATGGTTTATGCCAAGTCAACTGTCTCCAACAATACCATGAATGTTCCAATGAAATGGTTTGCCAACCCAAGTGCCTTAAATTTCACACTCATTGAAGGAAACCCATACGAGAATGAATACTTTACCAAAATTCCATTCAATGACATTGGTTTATTGAAATATACTCCATCCAATGTAGTTGTACCAACTGCCTCCAACTCTGCCATTCAGCCAACTGTTTCTGCTAGAAATTCCACAAGAGTTTCATCATCTTTTAAATTGGACTGTTCATTAATTGTAACACTCCTTCTCACTATTTGCATTTCATTGATATTTAATTATTGAGCATTCCGCATCATCCCTGTAAGGATATCTCTATAAAATAAAAATTCGCCTTAAAGTGCATTAAATGCGCGACCTTTAAAATATTCGTTGACCTTCTCAAATATAACCTTATTCATCATTGTAAAGTTGAGTTCAAAATTTTATTTACTTCCAAATTTTACCTCTGAAGCAACTCTTGAGCGAGTTCTAAAAAAGTGCAAAACAAAAATCTTGAAAAACACAACTAAAAAAAAATGCTTCAAAATAGTTGTGTTGAATCTTCACCATGTTGTGGAGGCAAAATGTATGATGTTATTGTTATTGGTGCTGGTATGGCCGGAGTTAATGCTGCCAAGTTGTTGAAACAAAATAATATTACCAATGTTTTAATTTTGGAGGCTAATGATTATATTGGAGGAAGATTGCGTTCTCAAAGCCTGTTGAATGGAAAGGTTGTTATTGATATCGGAGGTTTGTGTTTTTTAAATAATATATTATTTAAAATGTATATTTGATGATCACAATGTGATGAATTAAAATATAGGACAATGGGTTGGACCACCTCAACCAAAGGTAAGGAATTTTTGATCATGATCAATTAATCTATCAATTTCATTGCAACTATTTTAATAGGTTTTGTCTCTTATTAAGGAACTTAACTTGTCATTGGTTCCTCAATACTTTGAACAAGAAAATAGAAATTCATCCCTTGTCATGCCAAGTATTGGTGGTAAGAAGAATATTCTCAAATATACAGGAAGCATTCCATCTGATCCAAAGAATGTTACTGAAGAAGTCTTGTTGGATTTCCAACGTTCTATCATGAAGATTGAAGAAATGGCTAACACTGTTCCAGTTGATGCACCATGTGAATGTGCTAAGGCTTTGGAATATGACTCACAATCTGTTCAAACCTTTATGGATTCAATGTTCAAGACTGAAGTTGCTAAGGACTTTTTCAGAACCTTTGTTATTACTGTTCTTGCTGTTGATCCATCTGAAGTTTCAACTTTATTCATGTTGTGGTATATTGCTGCTGCTGGAAGTTTTGATAATTTGATGAATGTCAGAGATGCTGCCCAAGATGCCAAAGTTTACCTTGGTACTAATGGTATTGTTACTGGACTCGTTGACAAGTACAAGCTCAATGTATTATTGAAGCATCCAGTGACTAAAATTAAGGATGAAGGTGAAACCATGTCTGTTACTTGTGAAAATGGAAAGGTTTTCCAAGCCAAAAAGGTTATTGCCACTAATTTGCCATGGACTCACCTTGGTATTCAATACGAACCACCAGTTCCATCTCAAAGACATCAATTCTGTCAAAGAACACCTATGGGTTATGCTGTAAAGTGCTTTACAATATTTAAACAACCATTCTGGAGAACCAAGTACAATAGTAATGGTTTCATTTTGTCACTCCAAGATGAAGATTGGCATACTCTTACTTATGATATTGGTTACAAGAATGATCTCATTTTTGGTATTTGTGGTTTCGTTTATGCCACTAGAGCTTGTGAATGGAGTACATTCTCAAAGGAAAAGAAGGTTGCCTTGTTAATGAAACAATACAGTGAAACTCTTGGTGGTACAGTCGAAGAGTGGAAATCACAATTTGTAGATTATATTGAAAAGGATTGGGGTATGGATCCTTACACTAGAGGAAGTTATGGTGCTATCACTGCTCCAGGTACTTTGACTATGACCAAGATGGCCTACAGAGAACCATTGTATAATCGTAAATTGTTTATTGCTGGTACTGAAACAGCTACAGCATGGATTGGTTATATGGAAGGTGCTATTGTCAGTGCTGAAAGAGTCGTTCGTGAAGTGACAGATGCCTTGGGTAGTAATAGACCTTCAAAACTCTAAATAAATTATTAACATTCAGAATTCATTTTGGTAGAAACGGCTTTATAATATTTTTTACAAAAAGTGGTTTATTTAAATTACAACTTGTTCACCTTACCAACAGAGAACTGAATAGATTTGGAATGAAATTTGATTCAAAGTTAAAAATTCAATTGCAGTGGCAGCACTAGCTTCGGCACCTGCTTTCATCAACCTTGATAGCAGCTTTGTGAATAGTATTATCAATAAAGATATCTTCCTCACTGAGGAGATAAGAAAAGTCAGCAACCAATCCATCAAGAGTTTGTTGCAAACTTTGATCCTTGACTACATCTTGTATTTGACATCACTGAAGATAGCATCGTTTAAGAAGAAAAACAGTTTCAAAAAGGCTCAATGTCTATTTAACTTTAGAATGAAATAATTTACAAATGGTTGGAAAGACTCTTAATTGAATTTCACTGATTTAACCAAATTCCTAATGGTGACCATAGTTGCCAGAGGAATTCGTGTCTCAAATGTTACAGCATCAAATTTGTGTCCCATAGAAAGACATGGATAAAGAGCAAGCTTTTTTTGCATAAATTTTGGATGCTTTGTAAAGTATGCATTTAAATCATATCCATGAGTACTTAATGCTCCATTCTTTGCAAATACTAATCTCATATTCTTAGTATCTAAATAAATTCCCAAAACATACTCACAACCTTTATAGTCGCATGGATATGAGAGTTTGGAACTGAAGGAGGGTGCCGAATAATTAGATCCCCCATTAAAGTAAACAGACAATCCTTCATTATAATAGGCCCAACCGATTGAATTAGAGGAACCAAAATAATCATAATATTTGAGGTCGTAAGTTTTCCCTTCTTCCAGTAAAAATCTAGAAGATAAATTGTCAGTTTGCTCATATGTCTTCTTTAACATGCTATCCAATTCCAATACCTCAGTGAGGCACAGACCAATAAGATAATTATCATATCTTCCACTTTTGTGCACTCTAAACTCGTAAAATTTAACGCCAGTATCATAAAATATTGGATTTGAAATTAAATTGATACCAGCACTTGAGCTAGAGTAATCATCGGTCATCAATATGGTTGTTCCACAACTTTCTGATTGGTGCTTCTGCATCTCTATTTCTCCTTCGTGGCTACTAATAAATGAATGATAATCTTCTTCAGTTTTAAAAATATGTGAAGCGTGATAGATCATTTCTCTTCTGAAACACTTCTCTGGATTCAATTTTATACCGTCAATGACAGATTGTACAAAAGCCGACCTGAACGAGCCATGTTTCAAAACAAGCTCTTTAAAATCGATCAGTTCTTGTAATTCCAATAATCTTTTGTACAATAAATCACCACCCGTATTTACACATTCCAAACTCATTTCTTTAAAATCTTTTTCTAATTGCTTAATCATTTCCTGAACTTCATCCTCGTTAGAATTTACATTTTCCATTGGAGGAGAAACCAAATCAACATTCTTCTCATCATTTACAGTATTATTACTTGATTTCTTCTTTACAAAACTGAAAAACTTTCTCCAACCACTAACTTTCTCTGTTGGAGCATTACCATTACTACTTTCATCCGAAGAGGAAGAAGAATTCTTCAAATCCTGATGTTGTTCATGACACTTTTGAAAAGCCATCATCAAATGATCCAACTTGGGTGGAGAAATCAAATCGCAAAACCTCCGAGATATAGATGGAATATCGATCAACACTGATCGGAACGAATCACAATGAAACGAAAATATTTCAATCCACAATTCGTCAGGAATTGAATTCCAACCTTCATTCTTATCATCATGAGTATTGTTATTATTGTTAGGAATTATTTCCTCCCAATGATCATCATGCAAAGACATTTTTTTTTGATTACTTTTGTAAAAATAGAACTTGGAAATTGAAAAGCCTAAAATGTAATTTTTAATTATTTAATTATATATTTTAATTAAATATAATTAAATTGTTACAATAATACAAAAAAATGAATGAATATGATCAAGGGAAGAGATTTCCCTATCCTTATCAAGATGGTGGCAATGCCAATCATGAAAGTAATAAATTTTACAAAATTACCAGTATACAATGTCATGATGAAACTTTTCGATCCGATCCTTTTGATGAGTTTGGACCACATACAAGGAAATTTGTTCATCCACTAGTAGAGAATTGTATTGAAATTAAAGTACCACTCCCAATGAGTGAAAAGTTAATTCCATCAGCTTGTTACTATTCAATCTATGAAGAGGTGGATGTTTTTTCAAAGGTAGTGATGGCTCCGAAACGATCAAAGTGGGAATCAGCATCAATTCGACCTCCTATTACGTATTTCCTACAGGAGGATCGATTTATTGATGATGAATATGTGGTTCAGGTCCACACATTTAATGGATTTTCGACTCTCTTTACATCGTATGGAAGGTTTGCTTTTGAAATGGATAGTAATCATAATATTTATTTTGTCGATTATTTGGATGAGGAAAAGAGTGAAAAATTCAGGGTACAGCAATTTGTACAGGTATTTGCTGGATTTAAATTATTCTATTGTATTTCTAATAATTATTTGTATAGTATTGAAAGAATACAGCATGAAATTGTTATAAACAAATCACCTGTTAAGGAGAAAGTTTCAAAGTTATTAGCATTGGACTCGGGTATTATATTTATTCAGACACTTGCAGGAGATTGGATATTTCAAAACAAAGTTCCAGAAACACCATTCTCATTTCTCAAGTCAAAACAGGACTTCTCAAAATTGGATATTCATTTATTGTTAGGATTAAAACCTAAAACTCAGAAGAAAAAGTCACTATTTAACGATAATCAATTACCTCAATGCATTGAGATTGTTGGAAATGGAATTAATTTTATTGGATTTTTACTTCAAGACTACTCACTTTATATTTCGCCTCTACTATTTGAGAAATCAAAAAAGAAGATATGAACTATACCTTTACAAAATATGATTTATACTCTTACATTCTAGATTATGGACTTACAAGAAGCCAACTCACATCAACAAGCATAGAGGAAAAAAGTATTAAAACCAACGTCGAAC